TTTTTTTTCGGGTCGAAATTTTGAATTTCGATATCTCAGCTCTGGAAGGGTCTAGAGCCTCCATTTTTGCACTCAGGTCAAAGTCTCGTGGCCCTCTATCAGAATCCAGAGTTTTGAGAAGATTGGAGAAACTTAATTTTTCGCCCGAAAATGAAAAAAAACGAAAGGGGTAACACTGTCGTTTTTTTTTCGGGTCGAAATTTTGAATTTCGATATCTCAGCTCTGGAAGGGTCTAGAGCCTCCATTTTTGCACTCAGGTCAAAGTCTCACAGCCCTCTATCATAATCCAGAGTTTTGAGAAGATTGGAGAAACTTAATTTTTCGCCGAAAAATGAAAAAAAACGAAAGGGGTAACACTGTCGTTTTTTTTTTCGGGTCGAAATTTTGAATTTCGATATCTCAGCTCTGGAAGGGTCTAGAGCCTCCATTTTTGCACTCAGGTCAAAGTCTCGTGGCCCTCTATCAGAATCCAGAGTTTTGAGAAGATTGGAGAAACTTAATTTTTCGCCCGAAAATGAAAAAAAACGAAAGGGGTAACACTGTCGTTTTTTTTTTCGGGTCGAAATTTTGAATTTCGATATCTCAGCTCTGGAAGGGTCTAGAGCCTCCATTTTTGCACTCAGGTCAAAGTCTCATGGCCCTCTATCAGAATCCAGAGTTTTGAGAAGATTGGAGAAACTTAATTTTTCGCCCGAAAATGAAAAAAAACGAAAGGGGTAACACTGTCGTTTTTTTTCGGGTCGAAATTTTGAATTTTGATATCTCAGCTCTGGAAGGGTCTAGAGCCTCCATTTTTGCACTCAGGTCAAAGTCTCACAGCCCTCTATCATAATCCAGAGTTTTGAGAAGATTGGAGAAACTTAATTTTTCGCCCGAAAATGAAAAAAAACGAAAGGGGTAACACTGTCGTTTTTTTTCGGGTCGAAATTTTGAATTTTGATATCTCAGCTCTGGAAGGGTCTAGAGCCTCCATTTTTGCACTCAGGTCAAAGTCTCACAGCCCTCTCATAATCCAGAGTTTTGAGAAGATTGGAGAAACTTAATTTTTCGCCCGAAAATGAAAAAAACGAAAGGGGTAACACTGTCGTTTTTTTTTTCGGGTCGAAATTTTGAATTTCGATATCTCAGCTCTGGAAGGGTCTAGAGCCTCCATTTTTGCACTCAGGTCAAAGTCTCGTGGCCTCTATCATAATCCAGAGTTTTGAGAAGATTGGAGAAACTTAATTTTTCGCCCGAAAATGAAAAAAAAAAACGAAAGGGGTAACACTGTCGTTTTTTTTTTTCGGGTCGAAATTTTGAATTTTGATATCTCAGCTCTGGAAGGGTCTAGAGCCTCCATTTTTGCACTCAGGTCAAAGTCTCATGCCCTCTATCATAATCCAGAGTTTTGAGAAGATTGGAGAAACTTAATTTTTCGCCCGAAAATGAAAAAAAAAACGAAAGGGGTAACACTGTCGTTTTTTTTTTCGGGTCGAAATTTTGAATTTTGATATCTCAGCTCTGGAAGGGTCTAGAGCCTCCATTTTTGCACTCAGGTCAAAGTCTCACAGCCCTCTATCATAATCCAGAGTTTTGAGAAGATTGGAGAAACTTAATTTTTCGCCCGAAAATGAAAAAAAACGAAAGGGGTAACACTGTCGTTTTTTTTTTCAGGTCGAAATTTTGATATCTTAGCCCTGGAAGGGTCTAGAGCCTCCATTTTTGCACTCAGGTGAAAGTCTCATGGCCCTCTATCAGAATCCAGAGTTTTGAGAAGATTGGAGAAACTTAATTTTTCGCCCGAAAATGAAAAAAAACGAAAGGGGTAACACTGTCGTTTTTTTTTCGGGTCGAAATTTTGAATTTCGATATCTCAGCTCTGGAAGGGTCTAGAGCCTCCATTTTTGCACTCAGGTCAAAGTCTCACAGCCCTCTATCAGAATCCAGAGTTTTGAGAAGATTGGAGAAACTTAATTTTTCGCCCGAAAATGAAAAAAACGAAAGGGGTAACACTGTCGTTTTTTTTTCGGGTCGAAATTTTGAATTTTGATATCTCAGCTCTGGAAGGGTCTAGAGCCTCCATTTTTGCACTCAGGTCAAAGTCTCACAGCCCTCTATCATAATCCAGAGTTTTGAGAAGATTGGAGAAACTTAATTTTTCGCCCGAAATGAAAAAAAACGAAAGGGGTAACACTGTCGTTTTTTTTTTCGGGTCGAAATTTTGAATTTCGATATCTCAGCTCTGGAAGGGTCTAGAGCCTCCATTTTTGCACTCAGGTCAAAGTCTCGTGGCCCTCTATCAGAATCCAGAGTTTTGAGAAGATTGGAGAAACTTAATTTTTCGCCCGAAAATGAAAAAAAACGAAAGGGGTAACACTGTCGTTTTTTTTTCGGGTCGAAATTTTGAATTTCGATATCTCAGCTCTGGAAGGGTCTAGAGCCTCCATTTTTGCACTCAGGTCAAAGTCTCACAGCCCTCTATCATAATCCAGAGTTTTGAGAAGATTGGAGAAACTTAATTTTTCGCCCGAAAATGAAAAAAAAACGAAAGGGGTAACACTGTCGTTTTTTTTTCGGGTCGAAATTTTGAATTTTGATATCTCAGCTCTGGAAGGGTCTAGAGCCTCCATTTTTGCACTCAGGTGAAAGTCTCATGGCCCTCTATCAGAATCCAGAGTTTTGAGAAGATTGGAGAAACTTAATTTTTCGCCCGAAAATGAAAAAAAAACGAAAGGGGTAACACTGTCGTTTTTTTTTCGGGTCGAAATTTTGAATTTTGATATCTCAGCTCTGGAAGGGTCTAGAGCCTCCATTTTTGCACTCAGGTCAAAGTCTCATGGCCCTCTATCAGAATCCAGAGTTTTGAGAAGATTGGAGAAACTTAATTTTTCGCCCGAAAATGAAAAAAAAACGAAAGGGGTAACACTGTCGTTTTTTTTTCGGGTCGAAATTTTGAATTTTGATATCTCAGCTCTGGAAGGGTCTAGAGCCTCCATTTTTGCACTCAGGTCAAAGTCTCACAGCCCTCTATCATAATCCAGAGTTTTGAGAAGATTGGAGAAACTTAATTTTTCGCCCGAAAATGAAAAAAAACGAAAGGGGTAACACTGTCGTTTTTTTTTTCGGGTCGAAATTTTGATATCTCAGCTCTGGAAGGGTCTAGAGCCTCCATTTTTGCACTCAGGTAAAAGTCTCATGGCCCTCTATCAGAATCCAGAGTTTTGAGAAGATTGGAGAAACTTAATTTTTCGCCCGAAAATGAAAAAAAACGAAAGGGGTAACACTGTCGTTTTTTTTTCGGGTCGAAATTTTGAATTTCGATATCTCAGCTCTGGAAGGGTCTAGAGCCTCCATTTTTGCACTCAGGTCAAAGTCTCGTGGCCCTCTATCAGAATCCAGAGTTTTGAGAAGATTGGAGAAATTTAATTTTTCACCCGAAAATGAAAAAAACGAAAGGGGTAACACTGTCGTTTTTTTTCGGGTCGAAATTTTGAATTTTGATATCTCAGCTCTGGAAGGGTCTAGAGCCTCCATTTTTGCACTCAGGTCAAAGTCTCACAGCCCTCGCTCATAATCCAGAGTTTTGAGAAGATTGGAGAAATTTAATTTTTCGCCCGAAAATGAAAAAAACGAAAGGGGTAACACTGTCGTTTTTTTTTTCGGGTCGAAATTTTGAATTTCGATATCTCAGCTCTGGAAGGGTCTAGAGCCTCCATTTTTGCACTCAGGTCAAAGTCTCGTGGCCCTCTATCAGAATCCAGAGTTTTGAGAAGATTGGAGAAACTTAATTTTTTGCCCGAAAATGAAAAAAAGCGAAAGGGGTAACACTGTCGTTTTCTTGTTTAGGATATGGACGATCGTTTCACTAGATAAGACCCTATTCCTCAGCTGGGAGCGTGCACAGCCCTTTGAAGCTATTCAAAACCCTTTTAAACTGCATTGATTTGTTGCAACATGTTGCTTGAAGTCCATTATTTGGAGAAAAATCCTTAAAAGTTTTCCTCAAAAAAATTACATTTCTTTTCCACTGAAGAAAGAAAGACATGAATATATTGGATGGCACTGGGGTGAGTAAATTATCAGGAAATGTTCATTTTGAGTAGTAAGTTAACTCAGAGATCATCTAACCACTGCAAACCGGAAATGTTTATAAGTTACCCGTTTTCCTGTTCGAACGCTATAACCCCTATATAGCATCGAACTAACTGGCTATTATACAAACAGCGTTGGCATTGGTTTACGTTCTTGATCAATTCGAAAAATAACGTCATAAAGTATATACATGAAAAATACATTTACAAAATTAGTACATATACAAATTCAGGTCCAAAATGTTTGTACGCGTTTGTCGTAGACAGGAAATAGCATAACTAATATAATGCATAGCTGGCATTTGATAAAACTGAAACATTAGGTCTGAAATTATACATGCAAATACATTTAAAATGATTAAGTCTTAGCCTACTTACAGGTTGTGGCCCAACAACTGCTGCCTCTGGTTTTAAAGTTGGAACTGCTTCATGTTTTAGTAACTTAACATTTTGTTGTTGAATCCGGTATTGAATTTGTGGAGATTCTGGAACCTGTCTTCCGTAAAATGCGCAGCACAGAGAGCTAAATTATGATTGTAATTTTCAGGAACATAATCAAACATAAATTGTATACATTGTTGACGAACTACAACGTCCACGGGAAGCCTGAACACAGAAGACCTGACAGCTGGATGAACATAACACACTTTCGAAATATGGCCATGCCCTTTTTTGCATATTCCGGAGGGAGGGTTGATGCAAATGTATGGGTTAGTGATGTCTAAAACCCAGCTCTAGTCCCAATCGAGTCGTTTTTGAAGGCATTAAACTTCCTGATTTTTAAAAGATGATATCTCTGCTTACACTGAACTTTCAGCGCTGCAACTTTGCCGATACTATTCATGCACCAACACCAACAGCAACATTACACACTATTTAAAATGAAAAAAGTGAAATCGCAATCAATTAGCTTTTGCTGCTTCAAGGAATTGAATTGAATCAAATCTTTTTATTGTCACTTAAAAATCAACAATTGTTACGGTACAAAACAAACACACTGAAATAAAACCAAAATACAGGTACATCATGGGGGACTTATAATTTTGCACCTTGTCAAATCGTCATTCAAAACTTCCTTGAAAGCAAGTCTTCATTCAAAAGTGGTGGCCTTTTCTTTACATTATTTAAAAAAATAAAATAATAATAATATTATGTATACATAATATATGATGGTTCTACAGCATATATCTCACTGACATATAAAATAATGACACTGGCATTTCAAATTTACAATAATATAAGATATAGTGTTGCCAGGGACCAGCCTGTTGAACAAATGTGGAGGATGACTCTGTTACCAGGTGCACACATAAACAGTACTTGAAGTCAAATAATCCAACACAGTCTTTCTGTTTTTATCTGGTTTTTGACTTTTTTTCATCAGCATATTATTGTATTTCTAAATGATTAACAAATAGAGATACATAACTTGCCGAGGGTATGTCTTAAAATCAAATGTGGCTAAAGTAAATACATTTCGAAATAAAGCCTTTCTCTAATGAAACTGGTGCCACCTTGGAATTGCATACATTAAAAGGAGATGATATGCAGGAGACCAAAAAAAAGTGGTTAAGTAGGAAAATAATGTGCAGACACTATTTAAAAGATTGCATTAAAGTGCATTTTCTCTTTGTTTTTAAGTCCTTGTCACTCCAGAAATAACAAAAGAAATCTTTGGATCTGTTTTTTTCCCAATGGTTTTCATAGTAAGTGCAGTGAAAAGCACTATTCACACATTCTGCAGCCTTCAATCACGAATGTTCCCTAAACTATTGTATATATTAACAGGTTGGTGATATCATGTACAACACAGTGAGACCATTCATCTCAGACAGTAAAGGAACAATACAAGTGGTCTACAAAAAAAGCATCTGTGTCCAGTAAACAATCTACTAAATATACTATTAGAAAACAGTTTCTGCTATTAATTCAAGCCTCAAAAACGAGGCAGTCTTTATAAGCATCTAATAAAACTTAATACACCCTCTCAAAAATAACAGGGTTCGTGGAAAACGTATAAAAATATATATCACATTGAAACAAAGAAAAAGGCACCATGAGAAGTCCCCTGGCAAAATGTCAGTCTAATCACCAGGAAAGAAAAGGAAGACGAGCTTCTACGTCCAACAGAATGTTAAGGCGAAGTTCAGTTTTAGACCTTGGAAATGTTGTTCAAGCCACAGAGGCTACTTTGTCACAATCAAGAATGTTGACGTCCTTTTCCGGGGGAGAATCTCCCTCCTCCGTCGTCCTGTTCCAGCAAGGCAGGGTGGCCAAAAATAGAAACAAACCAGACACTAAAACACAAGTGCCACTGAAGTAGAACGCCAGGTCATATGACTGAGTCCAGTCGAAGAACCAACCTATAAGAAAAGAAAATGGAGACAATATCAGTAAAAGAGCAGGGTTGTTTGAATGTTGTGAGATATCACTCCATTTGTGGAGCAAACAAGGGAAATCTAATTTTTTTATTCTTGAAAGCATTTGTCTTTATTTTTAACTGCACTGGAGTTGATAAGATGACTCTTCTTACCTACAACAGGTGGTCCAAGTGTGATTCCAAACCCTCCGAAGCACATGAGAATGCCATGAGCGTGACTGAGTCGTTCCATGCCCACTATCTTGGTAGTGATGTAGGATGTGATAGACCAATTTCCTGAGAAAAATCCCACCATGGCCGACAGAACTTGCAGACCCAGGTAGCTCTTAAAAACTGGGATGAGCAGCAGAGTCAAACCTGTGCCTGTCAGCGTCAGGGCGTACAGGTACAGGCTGTTCACCCATTGCATGTCTGCCAGCACACCCAAGACCAGCTTACCGATGCCTGTTGTCAAAGCAACGATTGAGACGAGGGGTATTAGTGCAATCCCATCAATAAGCCCCTCGCTTTGAGCTACGTCCTCCATGAAGAGAACAGGTGGGAACGCCCCAAAGCTGAACAAGAAGATGGCGATGCAGAAAGCCATGAAGACACGGTCCTGTAGGAGCTCTATAGTCTTGCACAGGTACCGTCTATAGGGACGCATCCACTTCTTAATGGCTCGTGCTACTGTTGAACAGGACAATATCCCGCCATTTCTTTCCCCTTCACTTTCTTGCTGCTCTGTTGGTTCCATGGTGATCAACAGCTTCATGGCGGCTATGTTATTGGCTGAGCCGGGTGTGGTTTTGAGATCCAAGAAAGAGTCAATGATAATGGCAGTAGGTTTGGTGTAGAGTGGTTCTGGTTCCTCTGTATGCTGTAGCGCAGCTCTCTGTTTTAAGTAGTAACCGGGTAAGTTCATAGGTCGCATTGGCCCAGCACATGCCATCAGGTTGAGTGCCAGTGCTCCAATGATAAGCAGGCAACCCTCCAATCCAAACAACTCAATGAGCTCATTTTGGACTGTGGCGTAAATGAACCCGCCCGCACTTGTACCTGAGAAAGATGAAAAGAATCATGTGTCCCAATTTTGAAAAAATCAGTTTAAGGAAGAACATAAACAGAGAGAATCTATTAAAACATGGTAATCAAATAAAATGTTTGTTTTTTGTTATCTGCGCCACGTTTAATGAAAGTTAAATAACCTAAATAAATATTGCATTTTTTTCATTAAATTTGCCAAAGCAAAAAATGCTTATGACAGGTAATCAATACAAACTAAGGTATCAATATAATATCATAATATAAAGGTTCTTGAGGATGTCCTCCCTACTATTGTTTTCCCTCGTCAAATAGGGTTTATAATGTATTGCCAAATCTTTTTCAATTTCTGCCATTAACTTAATGCTAGAGTGGATTGGGAGTTCCTTGTCTTATTTTCGGAAAAATTTGGATTTAGTGCCATCTTTTTTTCTTGGATTAAATTATTTAGTGCTCCCTCCGCAGTAGTCCTAACTAATAGTCTGTACTCAGTCTAGACCATTTAATTTGTACTGTGGCACTCAGCAGAGCTGTCCTTTAAGCCCAACTTTGGCCCTACTGAACTTTAAGTTTTATGTTTGGGCAACAACATACGTAACACTGTATTGGTGGAACTATCACTTCTTGCCTAATAAAGATCATAGATCTAGATCATCCTGGTTGGATATGGAAATTCATGCTGATAAGCAAATCTCCCCTCCAGCACTAGCCCATGCCCAGTGTTGGTGAATGGTCACGTGATCCGCGTTTTAAGTTGTTTTAATGTGGACGAAGATCAATTCTAATACGCAGATAAAACGCTGGTGTGGACGGAGATCGTATTCGTTTTAATTCTCGGTTTTTAAACGAAAACGCAGTAGTGTGGACGGGGCCTAAGAGTTGGTCTGATAAAGGGATACATGTTTCAAAGACTTATTTATTGACAATTAATTTTCTCCTTTTAGTTTGAACAGGGGATTGTTGAATCTGATTTGTGTTGAAAAACAAATTTATAATATTGTAACACATTCCATTCTATAGAGTGAAGTCACTTTGAAAAAGAGAATTTAAAGGCCAAACCTGTGGTAACAATACCCAGAGCTAGGCCACGCCTCTTGTCAAAGTACTGGCAGGTTATGGTCAGTGTGGCAGCATAGACAAGTCCGCAGCCCATGCCTTAAACACAGAAACACCAATGTAAGATTTCACAACTTTATTTACACATTTGCGGATTCTCTGTTTCACATTTCTCTGAAACTATAAATTTAATGTCAATCTCAAAAGCCATAAATGATGCATACACACACACACACACACCAACACAAACTAAAGGCCTTGTTGGCAATTATCTCCAATGAGGATAGGCTAGGGTGTAGGTAATGATGGAGTTGACGAGTCAATCAATAGTGCTAAATTTTATATAATTTCCTATATTATGTACTTCTGATTGAGGGGACAAAAGAGGTGAATATACCTAAACAACAGGATGAAAACACTCGTGTGACTGATCGGTTGATTGATAGATTGACTGGTCTATGTAAAACAACTCCACTGAACTGAATATGCAATGGTATTTGTGGGTAATACATTTCTGTGTGTTTGTGTGTATGCGTGTGTATAAGTGAGGGTAACGTGGTTTTAAATTATAAACTGTCAATGAATAACAATTAAAAGCAACCCTGTCACAAACATTCTAACATATTCATCTGAAATATGCAAACTATTTAGCACTTACTGACAATCATGCACACAAACGCATACTATCACTCTCTACTAATGCAGGGTATTCACACATTGATTCACATGTTCATACGAGATATGAAGCTTTGAAGGTCAATAGACTCAAACAAACACATCTGTTTCTAAATACCAGCAAAGTGCTATTTAATGAACATTAATGATGCTGTTATTTTCTTACCGACAACAATGCCATAAGAGAAGATGAGGAAAGAGACGCTCGGAGCAAAAGCGCTCAGCATCAGACCACCGGCCACCATCACACCGCTGAAGACGGTGACGGGCCGTGCACCGAAATTATCCACACAGACACTGCACACTGGGCCTATAGAGAAAGACACAGGAACAGCATCTTACTGAATGCAAACAACACAGAAGAATCTGATAAATTTGGACAATTTACCAAACAATGAAAAACCCATTGGAGTTAGGCTGCCTTCCACATAGACTTATGTAAAATTTAATTTAAACTTTCACTTTTAGTCTTTTTATTTGATCTTGAATTACTGCATGTAGTATTTTTTTCATGTGTGTCAGATACAGCACCACAAATGCACATTATTTGTCCCCTCACAAACAAACAGCCCTTCTGTTCTATTAAGGTGTAAAGGTATAAGGTGACCCTCATTCCAACTGTCTTAACATATACTAAAATAGACACGGTCAAACTTCAGTGATGCAGAGAACATGTTTGTCTATCTATGATTAGAAATAACATCTGACGTAGTGAGTGGCTCCTAATATGGCCAAAATGCCTGGACTCGGAAGAGCATCTGGTGAGAACAGTGTGTGTTTGTGCCATCCAGACTAAATAATTTCCCCGTTTTTATTTTGATGGCTCATTAAGTTCTTTACTGTCTGGTATGGGGAACTTTATATCCCCTAACATCACTGCCAAATGCCCTCAAACACATTTAAGATTACTCAACACCAGCCATTACTCAACAATAATTTCAGACAAAGTAGAACTCTACATACTGACCAGCATTATCAGTACGAATGGACAACTCTAAAGCCGAATCAGAACCATCTAACCCATATTATATCAAACATAATGAGAAACTTAACTATATAATAGCCAATAGAAACAGTGGAGATGGCAAATATCTGCTCTGTTTTCTCCATGGAATTATCAGGAATTATTCAGATACTGTGTGTTGATGTGATGTGTGTGCTTCACAGGCTAGAAACAACTCTATTTTTCTGAATCAGCATAACCAGGGCACACAACAACATACTCCTGCTCTCAAATACACACCCATGTCCCTGCCAGTTCTGTCCAGTCATGATTCATGTCTTTCCTTGTCGTGACGATAGACTACACAGCTATGCCTGTAAACAAAACCTGACACCTCCAAAATATACAGACACATTTACACACACACATTCTACCTGTGTAAACTTTTACTGTAGCTCATGAAAGTTGAGAGAAGGATGCCTTTCTTGTCTTTCAGAAACGCACTGTTATTTCCTTTTTCTTTACGTTATAAGAGAGCTGTTAGTATTCCCATTAATCTCAGTCGTCGCAAACACTTCATTAACGGTTAAAGAACTGTATATGTTGCCTGCCCATTATAAAAGGCATAATTTGATAATCTGATTATGGCAAACCTAGACTCCTTGACCATATTTCTAAGTAAAGTTATTCAAGAAATTGTTATTCAGGACTCATTGTCAATTTGACCCCTGCAACACAGACAGTAATGAATGACTGTAAACAAGTAGGTAATTACTCTGTCAGCGTGTCTTCTCGTGGAACATGAGCATTACAGAACTGAGTCAGCAGCATACTATGAGAATAAAGAGCAGTGCTGTATGGTTTAGTGTGTATGATTTCTATGTCCGATTACACAAGAAGCAGGTTTGATATTAGCAAAGAGCAGTATAGTTTATCTCATTCACCTTGTTTTCTACTAAACATAGGCAAAGACCATTAAAACAAAATGTTTTTTACTTGTTTAAAGCATAAATCTAACAAAATGTAGAAAAAAACGAAATAATATTTACTAATAGGGTGAGGAAAAATAGAAGTAAAACTTACATTACACAATTTGGCTTGCAAAGTTTTTTTTCTTGTTTTCTTTTTTTTTTATGTTGGAAACCCATTTGTGATCATGTGAATTACATACCCATAAGGGACTTTTTCTGTTTGCACGTGCTGCTTTTTATTAGGAAACCTGTACTCTTTCTTTATCTCCCTCTCTCTCTCACACACACACACTGGTTTCCATATTTTATGGGGCCTTTTTATAGACATAATGCTTTTTAGACTCCAAACTGTATAGTATATCCCCTAACCCTACCCATCATAGGAAACTTTCCGCATTTTTACATTTAAAAAAAAAATGCTCATGGGAACCAACAAAAATGGATGGTCCCCATAACATAAAGATTACCAGGTACACACACACAAGAGAAAAATGATCATTACTCACTGGTGATGAGCGCCATACCAGACACCATGGATCCGACCCAAGCCGTCATGCCTTTTCCTTCCTGGAAGGCACTGAGCCACTCTGGGTACAACACCCCAACGGACTGGGGGGATCCTGATGACAGGAACTGGGCCATGAAGGAGGCCACCACAATAATCCATCCCCATCCACCATCTAAAGCACCCTCACCCTTTACAGCACCCATCTCAGCACTGAGCTTATGCTGACTTCACTTGACTCAGGGGTCTGCAGAAAGAAGGGGTGAAACATGATAATACATCAAGCAGTGACAGCATATTGTGACATGCCATAATTTATGCAAGCCTAATTTAAATATCATTTTTGCAGGAATGCTGTATGTAATTATATTTAATTAGCAATGCTCTATTTAATCTTGACACACAAATAACTATTTAGGTTTAACTTTAGCCTATATAAAAAGCTACAATGTGATTAAAATGAGTGAAATTGTTAATGCACCTATAATGTTCACTTTTGCATCAAATCATGATTGTTCCAGTGCGTGTTATTTGTTAACTCACACAAGAAGTGAAATAGCTGTGGCACTTACGACAGGTGGAGGATGTTGCTCTTGCTTCCCGAGAGCGGTGTGCTGAACCGCTCGTGCCTGGTAGACCAGGCCGGTCTCACGAACTTCTCTGCTGAATACCTTCTCGAGATCAGTGACGCACGCCGCCTAGTTTTAAACGCTTCTGGACACAGGCCACACCTCGAATGAGGCACCACTGAGCGGGCTGCCTTCTTATCCCCCTGTTTACTTTTATTTACGTCCATAACATAGATGGCATCCCACAGTCGCGAGGAGAACTGGTGTCGTTTGGAGCGCGTGGATGCATCTTTTTCTTCTTCAGCGCGCGCAGAACGGTGCAACGGAAGCGAGCTGAAGTTTCTCATTTTCTCTGCATGCGCTTTTCAATCCTGTGAAATAAAAGAACCGGTTTGAAGCTGTTTTCACCGGTCAGACTTGTGAAATCAAATGGATCAACTGTGCGATCAACTGGAAAGAAGAGCGTCCATCTCTGTTGCGTTTGCATTCTATTAGTATTTTATATTGCGTCCTAGGAAAACTGTACTGTTACAATTTAATAGAAAATAATAATTAATCATAATACCTTTATGATTATTATTATTAAAAAAATGATAAAAAAAATATTATTGATATAGCATAGCATCAAAATGATTAAACTATGTTTTCTAAGCTGAAAGTGAAAGTTTATGACTTATATAAGACTCTGTGGACATAATATGACATAAATTTACTGTACAGTTTATATTCTGCAATTTTCATATGACAAAAAAAAAAACGTTTATAGGCTATATAGCCTAAAGGACACCTTTTTTGAGCAGGCTAAATATTTGGACATTTGAAATCAAGGTTATGTCTAATGAACAAATGAATGTCTTTGTTTTTTCATGGTTTTTTTATTATTATTATTATTATTATTCAGGTTATGCATCTCTGAAATAATGTGCAAATACTAAACAAAAAATCCCAATACCTACAGCAGCTTGTGTGAACGCACCATTTTTATTTTCATTGAAATCTAAGTGTTTGGCGTCACAAAAGGCTTCAACCAGAATTCTGTTTTTCAGTCAGAGAGAAACCAAATAAGACCAACCAAATTTGTATTAAACTTGCACCTGTCTGCTAGTTAGCCATACCATTTAAAGATGATTACATATGGCATATCGTTCACAGTATTTATTTGAATGGAAGAATCCAGATGTTGCAACTGACCAGTGAGAAAGCCAGTGAACCAGACAACACCAACACCATACTGGTCTCACTCCACTTTTAGGGAAAGTTGCAGAGAGGCTAGTTGAAAAGGCAACCTGAAATGAAATGTAAATATTGTCCATCTTTCTCTCTCTCTCTCTTCTATGGCTACATAATTCTCTTGTTAAAATGTCTTTTTCTTGCATATTTATATTACCTCTTTGGGATTTAACCCATAGTATAAGTCAGCTGCCCTTTTTAAATACTCTCTGCGTAAACTTTTTTCTGCTGGTCCAGTACCCTGTGCAGTTTGAGTGTCATCACTCTAGCATGTTTCTGATTGGAGGAATAAGACTTGTTGCAACTGTCCCCTGTTGCAACTGTCCCCATTACACTTTAACAAAGACACATTAAAATAAAGTTAAAATATCTGTTTGATGTCACAGCTAAAGTTATTGAAGGACATATTTAGACTGTGCCCCAGAGCAAACTTCATAGGACTAGACTTCTGTTAGGCTAGTTAAAAAACTTCTTCCCACCCTTCTGTCTCTCCTCTCTGTCTGGGTGGTCAGCTGAACTTTTGTGCTGGGTGAGTGCGTGAGGGTCAGACGGCTTGGGCTTTAAGCCCACCGAGATCCTGTTCCTGTCCGAATGCTTGTACTCGTTCCCACACAGACATAAAACAAGGAGAGTCTTCCCCCACCCTGACTCTGTAATCCCCTCTGACATGAAAAGAGAGGGAACAAAAAGAAAGAACAGAACAGTTAATTGCATTTGCCTCATATCACTTTTTTGGACAACATCTCTTTTTATATATCGTGGCAGCCTCCAGAGATCTGGGAAGCCAATGGGATACTTCTGGAAGGAACATATGCTAGGCTCTCGATTACATTTGGTTTAAAAAGTAAAAAAAAAACGCACTTGACATGATGGATAGACCAAGTTCATCTACAGTACTAGTCAAAAGTTTAAACACACCTTCTCAAGACTTTATTAGCCTACTACTATTTTGCACAGTTAAGAATTATAGCAAAGTTGTCTGTGAAACAAGTATACACATTAAACAGTGGTTTTGTTTTAAATTCTTTAGGCCTGCTGTTGTTAAACACTTGGCAATCTCTCAAAACTTCAAGTAGCCACTTGAGATACTTTCCCAACAATCTTGAAGTAGTTCCCATGCATGCTGGGTGCTTAATTGTTTTCCCTTCACTCTCTGGCACTTTTTTTTCTTTTTAATTAAAATGTTTGTTTCATAAATAAATTCATACAAAAGCACAATTTATAGTTGTCAACAAAACTAAAGGGCTTTAAGAACATAAGAAAGGTTAAACAGTTGAGTGTGTCCAAAGTTTGACTGATAGTTTACTATCTTGATTCTCCATTTGTGCAAGAGGGTCAGAGCAGACTGAATTGTAAAAAAGCTTTTGGTTTAATTTTGTTTTGTTTAATTTGCTGTAATGTTAATGAATACCATTCTTATTAAGAGGTTGTTGTTGTTGTTGTTTTTCCATTTGACTTAGAATTAGAGGATCTGAAACAAAAGCTGTGAGTGTGTGACATGATCTCCTTGTTTACTATGAGCTTTCGCTTCCTCAGGAGTGCTGACTCAATGGGGGTAGGGTTGTTCCATTATTCAATTGTGTGGATCTCTTGCGTGCATTTGTGGATTGACTTGTGTGTGTGGATCTGTCGCGTGCATTTGTGGATTGACTTGTGTGTGTGTGGATCTGTCGCGTGCATTTGTGGATTGACTTGTGCGTGTGGATCTGTCGCGTGCATTAGTGGATTGATTTGTGTGTGTGTGGATCTGTCGCGTGCATTAGTGGATTGATTTGTGTGTGTGGATCTGTCGCGTGCATTTGTGGATTGCTTTGTTTGTGGATCTCTTGCGTGCATTTGTGGATTGTGAGTGTAGAACTGTTGCGTGCATTTGTGGATTGCTTGGTGTGTGTGGATCTCTTGCGTGCATTTGTGGATTGATTTGTGTGTGTGGATCTGTCGCGTGCATTTGTGGATTGATTTGTGTGTGTGGATCTGTCGTGTGCATTTGTGGATTGATTTGTGTGTGTGGATCTGTCGCGTGCATTTGTGGATTGATTTGTGTGTGTGGATCTGTCGCGTGCATTTGTGGATTGATTTGTGTGTGTGGATCTGTCACGTGCATTTGTGGATTGATTTGCGTGCGTGGATCTGTCGCGTGCATTTGTGGATTGATTTATGTGTGTGGATCTGTCGCGTGCATTTGTGGATTGATTTGCGTGCGTGGATCTGTCGCGTGCATTTGTGGATTGATTTGCGTGTGTGGATCTGTCGCGTGCATTTGTGTGCATTAGTCTCTCTTAAAATTAAAACAGTTGATAATATGGGTGAAAAGACTTGCCAAATAGCCTTCTCTTCCTTTAATGAACTTATTTGTCTATAACAACTTTTGACATGCTCTCTGTGGTTGTGATTATAATTATTATAATTGTTTTGAATTAAAATTATTGACTTTAGCAAGGTTTTCTGTGATCGCTACCATAATTATTATAATTACTTTTTATAAAAATTTCAAACAGTAATAGATAATTTATTTTCTAATTTATTATTGTATTTTAATTGTACTATTAACCATAACGTCAGCAAACACAGAACGTTCCTCTAACGTTCCCGAATGGTCTGATGAGGTTATTTTTTTGGGAACCAAACAAGAACGTTATAGGAACGTTCCATGTAGGTTATTTTTAGGTTCCATTTTTATAACGTAAGGAGAATGTTCCGGGAACGTGCCCTTAACCTTGAGGGAAAGTTCTAGGAACGTTCCCAGAACCTAAATTTGTTTGCTGGGATTTGGAATGATAAGGTTATGCATTCTGATCACTTTTGAGATGTCGAGCTTCAAAGTTTTTGCATTCCATTTGACTTTAGATATTTTTTATATTACGTGAAAAATAATATTACATTATTTTAAAACAATTAAGTCATAATTTCTGTTTTAAAATTTACACCTATTGTTAATGCAGTCACACGACTAAATCTATGTTAATTCTTTCAGAACCACAAACAGTGAACTGCATGACTTCAACTATTCTATTCCTCGAATCTGACTTGAGGGTCAGTCACACCCCCCTGACCACCCTAGCCTGACAAAACCAGTCTGAACCAGGTGAGAGTGCCTTGGCAGAGAGAAAGCAGAACAGGAGAGCTTACGCTGAAATACTTCTGCAGGGATTAGGCTACCACACAGCTACAGGACTGTATGTGTGTGAGAACCAGTGCTTAGTAAGACATTAGAGAGGTGTTGGGTAATTAGAATGGAAAACTGTGGTTGGGGGGATGATGTGCGGTGCCAAACAGGTGTGCAATATTACCGGATGTTTATGTTATAAAGTTGATGCACAATGTCTGTGCATCTAGGTATCAAGATATCTTGGTAATGACTGAATTTCCGAAATGGAATATCCTCAGAAACAGATCAATAGCACAGGAAGCACATATGGTATTATTTGAAAGCTTAGAAATTACATTTTCTAAAGAACTCCACTGATTCAACATTCTCTAGGTCTTTAATATCTTGTATTATCTTGCTCAGCGTTTCTCATCTGGTTTTAGAGCCAGAAACAATTTTCAATCATATAAAAATGAACAAATGTTCTTTTAAATTAAGCAGTGAAGTGTATTAACATTATTACGAACTGTATACTGTAGACCCCATGACATACAACATTATTTGCATGACATTCCTGAAAAGGAAAATATAAATATCTCTCGAGTTTTGGTTGTATTATGCTCCCGGTCCACAGAAATAAGTTAAGACTAAATATTTAACAGCCTGTGTCAGTTTCTTAGGATCAAGACATTTGTTTTCTATCATAATATATCCTTTTAACTAACTATTTTTAACAAATAATAGGAGATCTATTAAGGGAACTTGGCAATTTATTCACTATTTAACAATATTTAAAAACTTTTTGGGCTAGGGTTGTTCATCTTAAAAAGGTGCAAAACAGCAGGAAACATGACTAATCACTCGTGACTTCAGAAGCCTCCCCTGGATCTGACTGAAAACGAAAGAAAACAACTTTTAGAATTGCAATAGCCTTAAAGATTCAAAATATCAATCACTTGCACACAAATTTATGAAAAAAAAGAAAAAACACATTTTTATTTAATTTTTTTGTACAAGCATTTAATCATGTTGAGTTATTGTTCAACAGTACCTTGTTTTGTTGTATCAAGATGTCGATTCATAGTTAGGTGTTATATGACACTGGCATTAAGCAAAATTCCCCATCTGAATAAGCATTCAGGGCACTCACTTTACAGCGAAGGCTCCGAGAGAGGTTGAACTGCTGATCAGAAACCAGTATTGACTTTGTTTTTGTAGCGGGTCATGTTTGGATTCTAGCAGGGAGAGACTGGTCCCCGACCAGCAGTCGTGGGAAACCTCTATGGCTGTGCAGAAACACACAAACACCCGCACACACAAACACTATAATCCCACTATAATACACACACAGAGAGGCAACAAGTGCTGTTTCAGTACATTTCAGTCTGTCTTCTTTACCATCTATGCTGCCAACGAGAGACACACACATCTGTTTTACAAACAAAAATGGCCTAACATTCAAACACAATAAAACAAAAGAAGAAAAAAAAAAATGTACTGCCGCCCCCACGGCAAATTCAGTTATTTTTCAACCTTTGTGAAGACGGTCATTTGAGAGGAAAGATTTATCCAATCGGGGATTCAGTTGTTTATTAACTGTAAAATTTGGATTCGATATAACAGTCAATCTGTTAAAACAATTACGATGAAATGGGGGCATAGGAAAGACTTTCTACAAACAAAATGCAGACATACACAGCTGACAACCCTCTCGTACAATCTTCTAAACCTTTCCCAATTGTTTCCTGAGCCAGCTTGATCACTTGAAAAAAAAAATAAAAAAAATAGTAAAATTAAAGAAATTTAACGGCATGGGGCTGGTTATGGATCTGTCAGTCGGCCAAGCATCTACATATTCTCCCTTTTCACATTCCCAGTCCTTTGGTTCCCCAGTTCAACTGTCCTCTAATTCCATATCCGCTCCAAAAACCTTCCAACCTTTGCCCAGTGGAGGATCACTGAGTTGTTATTATAGTAGTAGTATAGCCTAGCTTGGAGCAGCCTAGCTTAAGGTAGTGCACGGTGCATGCATTAAGGCTGAGAGGGGGGATTCTGTGATGTCACAGAGTGGGAGGAGCCAGATTGAGCCATTGGCTGTGCGGGTGGTGGAGGAGGAGGGGGGTGCTGGGCTCCAGAGTGTGTGTTCGGGGAGGGAGGCGGAGTCGGACGCTTGAACTTATCCGGACTGGTGCTTCTCCTTGGGGATGGCCTCTGAATATGGGAAGGAAATAAAAGACAAGCTCATAATGTGATACTGGTCAAAAGTACAGGGTCATTAAATGTCATTTTTTTAAATTAATACTTCAGCAAAGACATAATGTTACAAAAAAATTCTAAATTTTAGATGCAAAAACCATCTCTAAGGATACTGTTTTTTAGAAGGCAGCTGTCTGTATCTGAGATGAACAGAAAAATGGTTTGTGTAATAAGCAACACATTATAGGCTAATTGACCTTTCGCCAGCCCCTCCCCCAAACTGGCCATTGTCCAATCACACATAATAGCAAACGTTACTATGAGAGCATGTCCGCCAAACATTGACTCAAAGCAAGATGGTGAAGCGGTGCGCCCACGGCGTTAGTAAATCGGACACTAGGTACCCGAGAGATTGTCTGGAGGTTGTGTTCTTTCCGTTTCCAAAGCCGAAAACACAACATGAGCAGTGCCTACAATGGTTAAAACAGTGTGGATGGCCCCACTCCCAGTTAAACTGGAACATGTGTACTGAGATTAGTCAAAGAAACATGGAGAAAGCAGATCAAGAGGATCCACAAAGGAATTATGTGGGTTGTTGTTAACATGATATTCTCGGGGGGAAATGAGCAGCCGTCACGTGGCTACAGTTTAGAGTGCACGCTCGCAACAGGGAAAGCATGAAGCTTACTTGACAACATTAGTTCATACTGTATATCAATATCGTAACGAATAGAAATAAACTTTAATGAATGCGTATATCTGCATCTTTCTGTCTCTTATGTATAGTTACTTTTTAACTATACATAATACAAGTGTAACTCATAAGTTATTCAAACAAAATTCGACAGTTTCTGACAATTGCGGTCATGCTTTTGCTGAAATCAAAACACTAAAACTCTTACACACAGAATGTGCATTGGTATCATCACCTCTAGTTTACTTAACACATGAGTGTTTACATGTGAAAACAGAGTGTGAAAGTGCAAACATGTCCCCTTTGAGTATGTTGGAACAGTCTGGCTCTGCTGTCACTTCTTTGGTTTATCAAAACAAGCGGACTTTTTCATGGCACCACGGGACATGAAAGTGAGCCAACCACTCATCGCTAAAACAAACAGATCACTGTTGCTATAGCCAACACCCCCCCGACAGGAAAATAATCCACAATGTTCAAATGGGTATTGGGAAAACAAAAATAATGCTAATTCAAACATGTCACTGAATATTATTCATCAAAAGCCTGAGGTGATCATCCATGTAGTAAGAAGATCAAATGCCTCATTACATAACCAAATCAGTTCAGCTCTCATTCCAGACCATATCTGTTGAAAACTACAAGGAATGTTGATCAAGTGACTGGATTTACTGAAAGATTGCTAATACTACTGCAACAAAAGAAAACACAAGCATATCTTAGATTTGTTTATGTCTTGATAACCTACCTCAGACATTTACCTAGAATATTTAAATTGCTTACAAAGGAGTCTTGTTAAAAGGACAAGCGCTCAGATGAAGTTCTTCCTTCTTATTGTTGATGTTTTTGGTTATTTAGATTGCTGTTAAAGCTTGCAATGAGCTATCCTATTAAGGGATGGTGAGGTTATATAATGTGCTTACCTAGTCAGTCACTTCATCAAAAGTCTTTTCTGCTACATAGAGGGGTCATTTTTGTGCAACAGACATAAACATGATGACTAATTGCTGCTGCAACCAGGCTAATCTTACATTGTTGGCCTCCACTCAACTGGACAATATCCAAAGGGTGTTGCGGAACGTACATAAAGTGAAATTGGGACAGGTTAAAATGGTTACTTCACTGCTGTACATTTATAGATAACTTATTTATCTGCCAGTTAATATTAACCTGATAAAGTGATGCATTAAATCTGTGTTGCACCTGTCATTTTTCTCAAATGGTACAAAACAGCTTTAAAGGGCAATATACACTTAATCTGTGGTCTTAATCTACTCAAAAAATATGGGGTCAGAAAGTTCTCTTTTTTAAAGAAAAATGTCAAACTTTGATTCGACATGGATACACTAAATTGATCATAAGTGACAGTTAAGACATTTATTTAAAAAACAATGATATAAAAGATTTCGATTTCATATAAATGCTTATCTTTTGAACATGCTCTTCATCAAAGAATCCTGTTCTTTGATGAAGAGCATGAAGAAAGCAGCACAACTGTTTTCAACATTGATAATAATAAGAAATGTTTATATGCAGTAGAGCCAGACAGATTTGTCGGCAGGTCGATATTATCGGCCGATATTAGGCATTTTCCAAACTATCGTTATCGGCAGTTATAATGGCCGATAAATGAATATTTCAAAAATAAAATAAAAACGGATGAAACACGCTTCAACCATTTCATGAGTGTTGGAGTTGTATAGTTTGTCCACCAGAGGGCACTCTACACCGTCCCTGTTGGCAACACTCGTGTATAACGCACCACATGTCCTGCAACCTGCTGATCCAGCCAGATAGTCCATTTTAAGCCAAAATGGGGGTCAACCTTGAAAAAATTGCAACAGAAGCAAACTCAACTGATTTTGTATCCTCAATATGTCCTGAGAAAGGAAAAAAAGCCCCGAATTTATCCCATTCATTCGCCTATTCATTCTTTTTCTCACGTGAAAAGGGTAAAAATTTTACAAATGTAGAAATGTAGTCCATCATCACTAGTGATACTGTAGGTACATGGTGTATAAAAACACTGTGGATGTTTTTGTTCAGCGAGTTTGTTATCTTATCAGGGTTTCTGCATTATAATACAATTGAATATCTCTGTTACATAATGCAAGTGCCATGGCACCTTTGGGACTGTGATAAGAACCAAGATCTTGTGTGGCGTACTAGATTTCCTATTGAAGGAACTACCTGCTATCTCTCCATCTAAAAGGTCAGAATACACTGCAAAAGACACAGCAAGGGAGGAAATGCAAGAGAAAAAGAGAATGCTGCTTTTGTGCTTTATCTTATTTAGATGGCTGAGGATTCCCGGAACTGGTCTATATTAACTTGAACATACAAAGGGGATGAAGAAGAGCACTCTGAGGTCGAGTGTTACCAGGTGATTCACAGATGAGTCATCTAATGTCCTGTTAGCAATTCAACTGAATGGTGTTACGATGGATATTAACTGAAAACAGGCCATCCATGATACACACTACTTCCTGCATGAAAACATCTTGCTGCTCATTGACATGAGCTTGTGCAAAGAGTGAGTGTGTTATATATATGCTGGACATGTGCATATAGTGTACACGCACCTGTACAGCGTGTGAGGGTCCTGGGTGGATGTGTAGTCCGGGAGATGTGTAGTGGGGGAGTGGTGCTCGGCTCAGTGTGGCTGGAGGGGTGAAACCAACCGTGTGACTGGCGTAAGACAAACCTGAAAAAAAAAAATCAGTTTTAGTGAGGTCCTTTATACAGTTGTTTTGTCACATCTATGTAATGTGCAATACATAATAATACTGTACTATATATTTATAATATATATAGTATAATACTAATAATGTAATGCATCCAAAAAAATATGAAACCTGGCCCACCATACTGACAGTATGCAGAACAAATATAAATAGCTCTTGCAAGTCACTCCTCTGGGAACATGGGAAAATGTATAAATAACCAGACTCCTTTTTCAACGGACCCTAATGAAAGAAGACTACGAACCAGTCTTTCTCAGCAATAGAATATATAAAAAAGCTTTCACACTTTCAAATGTGCACTGTTGTACTTTTCACCATGCATATGTAAATTATATCATCTAATAAACTAAAGCATGTTCTTTTTTCACATGATATCAACCGGTTAATGCTGTTATTAAAAACCAACAATAAACAGTACCTCTGAGCCTAAATATTTATTATTTAAACTCCTTATTGATATGAATATTTGGTCATTTGAACAACATTCACTTTTATTTACATAACTTGATGTACTTTTTTTATCTTATTAAAGATTGTTTTAGTTTATTATCTAGTTGATTTATGTTGCGTTTATCAATACCTGCAATATATTCAATGCAAATGTACCACCCATAAACATCTACTGCATCATCATCGGTCTGAAATAATCTTTTTTGATCTCAGAATGGGATTAAAAGCAAGTCTTTTACCTATTACACCTTCACATCACAGCACAGTCCAACTTGTATAATAATTAACCCTCCATAAAAAACATGTTTGTCTAATTAATTATAATCTTATGAACTGACCAGAAGGCTGTGTACCAAAAGCCTTGAGTGTTAAAATGTGGATCAAAGACAAAGCACATACAAATCTGTTAATCATAAACACTTCAAAAGTCTGAACCAGTTTTTAAAGAAGTTTCTTGCCGCTCACCAAGGCTGCATTTATTTGATCAGAAATACAAGTATAACTAGTAAAAAAATATAAAAGTATAAGTAACTAACACTAACATTGTGCATTATTATTACAATTTAAGATAACTATTTTCTATTTTAATTGTTTAAAAATATAATTTACTTACATAAACAAAGTACAGCATTTGTTAAAAAAATAATAATAATTGTAATTTTTTTTTCTCGCAGACACGTCTGTACGCCGAAATTCCGGAGTGAGCAGGCCAGTAAATTTAATCCTTGCTAATAAACGGTGTAGAGTCCTTGCTAATAAAAGTATTAATTAACAAAAAAATCTTACTGACGCCAAACTTTTGAATAGTACTGTATATTTTGGTATAAAAAAGTGATACATTTGCAAAGCTAATTGTATGGACATACCAGGGGAGATGGGGCGGCTGGAGGAAGGAGAGGGGGTGTAGGGGATTGGGCTGGACACTGTACGAGCTCTCAGTCCCTGAGCAGACATCTCATTAAAATATCTAGAGAGAGAGAGAGAGATTCAATATAAATAAGATGCAATATCCAAGGTTTAAACGTAGCTGGGCTGCGTTTCCAAAAAGCATCATAAGCCTGAACAGATCATTGAATTATTGCAACCAATGGTCTCTATGATCAATTTAGCTAACAATGCTTTTGGGGAATACAGCCTTAAGACAAGGTTATGATTCCAGTCATCTTTTCTGTATGTGTTTAACGCACCTCTCATCATCCATCTCAAGGCTGCTCTCACTCTCTGACAGTTGTCTACACAGCGCCTCTCTTCTCTCCATTTCTCTCTGGAGTTTCCTCTGAAGACGAATGTTCTCTTCCCTCATCTGCCTTTCCTCCTCAATGTACTGAGCCCGCTTCTCTGTGTCTGGAGGGAGTGATGACGGAAAACAAACAAATGTTACAAAGATATACAAACTGTAATAAACTGAAGATGAAGATGATGCTCCTTGAATCATTTTCAAAATACATGATTACACAATCATAATTTTAAACTTTCAAATACTAAGTCATTAGTCAAGAACTATTCAATTAAATTTTTCTCTTATTTTATGAATTAAAAATTATAATATCAGCATACATTTATAGTGCAGCTGATTTTATAATTTACATATAAAAGTTTGAAGTCCACTATAATATAATAAATTAAAATTAAGTTAATATTAATTTAACTTTAAATAATTAAAACACACACACACACAGTATAGCTACCTTGATCTTTTACATGCTAAGTTTTAAAAGCTTTTTATATCTACCTTTTTTGCTGACTCAATGCTATGTTGTGTTAATACCTGCTTAAAGCTTTAATTGGTGTGATGCCATGAGCTGGAGGTTGTCTTACAATACAGATGTCTCCCTCTAGTGGCCATAACACAATTAAGCTAAGTATTAAACCAACTGTGTCACAATCTATACTACAAAAGTAAAACCATGTAATTCACTGGTCAGTATACATGACATGAGTACACCATAATGATGTCACGATACTGGAATTTCTAACATCGATAAAGAAAAAAACAAAACAAGAAAACAATCAGCAATAAAATAAAAACAACAACAAACTGCAAATAATAGCACAAATAAATAGATTAAAATAATGAGACAAAAACATGGCGTTGAGTTTTTCAGGTGGGTCTAACAATTGGCTAGTTTTCAGGCAAGCAATTGCAGAAAGTAAAACTTAAATACAGATTAATGCTTATGGTTAATGGCACAAGAGCAGCGAGTGATTTTCTTTCTTTTGTTTAGTGCTGGGTATCATTCGAAATATTTAGATACCGATACCTTGACTTTGAACAATACTTTTTTCGGTACCAATTTTATGAAATCCGTTTTAAAGAGATTTAATCCAACGTCTTTTTATTGAAGCATATGATTTAACATACAATTCACTTGTACATTCTGAGAATCTTTTTTTGACTAAAAAAATATATATATATAATAAAAAAGTGCAATTTGTTTTCCTCTGGTTGAGTATAATGGCAGAAAGACAGGAGTGCGTACTGAGACAAGGACTCACGCTGTAGTTCTGTAGTGCGGAGGCTGCGCTTCAGCCTTTCCACTTCACTCTTCAGGAAGCGGATGTGCCGCATCATGTTCTCGGGAGAGTCAATCTCCATGGAAACTTCACGTGGAGACGGAGGGGCTGACACTGGCTGGTCAAGCTTCTCCTGCAGAATCCTGCCAATCAGAGTGAAGAGGTAAAATTGTGAAATGAAGTGTGGTTAGACACATACAAAGTTTTTGTTTTTACTGATGTAAAAAGCACCAAGAAAGAAAAAAAAAAAAACACATTACAAGGGACATTACCTTTTCTCTGCCTCAAGTTTGTCCATGCGCTTCCAAAGCCGGTTTACCAGTGCCTCCTGCTCCTGTTCAAGAGTGTTTTCCAGATCAATCTTCTCACGCCGGAGCTGCACACATTACATGGAATTATAAAACAATATGGCATTTTAACAGTACATGGTCTTAAAGGGATAGTCTACCGTTTTTTTATCCGTTCATATTAAACTATGTTATTCCCTTAACTAAGACGAGTTGACTACTCGACTTGGTCGAGTTACACTACTCGTGTAAGTATATTTAAATAGGGAAAACGTGGAGATGTTTGGTCGCTTCTCTGCTTGGATCCTAATGAATGAATTGGGCTAAGTTAAGTGCTAAAAAAAACTGTCTCACATGCCAGAGCGATTAGACGAAAGAGGTATGTATCAACTCCTCTAAGTTAAGGGAATAAAAGTTTAATATGAAAAAACAGTGGAGTATCCCTTTAAGGAAAAATGTTGACTTTCCGAAAGTACAAATGATGTATTTGCTCATGAATAGCCTGTTCTAATCCCGAGCCAGGTACTGGCAGAAGCCTATGCTAACAAATAAAAATACTAGGTTATTGGAAGCACCTGTGCAACTGGTTTAGACCAATTGATCTGAAAAATTGTCTGTACAATAGATGGTGGCCAGTCAAGAATAAGTGGTTTAGGGACGATCTTGTTCTACAGAAAGTTGTTAGAAGAAGGTACCTGCTCTAGAGTGAGCTGTTTGGTGATGGTGTCGTTCTCCAGTTTTTTGATCTTCTTCATCAGTTTATTGACCTGAAACTCCTGCTCCTGCTCCAAATGCTGCTCCAACTCTGCCTTTTCATGCTGAAGCTGAAAACAAAAGAGCATATAAGAGAGAAAAAAAATGTCTATGGCAACAGTCCTGAATCAAAACATGATGGGCAAAGCCTCTGATGCAAAGTAGTAATGTTATGTTGTCACATTTTTCCATGATGTCCAACCTATTGTTCATGGTAACTATTTTGAACGCTCATGCATAGTTGCTAGTGTTGCAAATATACTAGGGCAGTCCCTGACTAAAGATCGTCAGTTAGTCGTTCATTCAAGCCATTAGTCGATCAGTCTGGGGAGAAATACTCAACCTTAATAATGAATATTCAAAATATAAATGAAATGTTCCAGCGTTATTGCAAAAGGCTTGCTGCAAACATTGCATGAATTTGTCTGAGATAAGAACGCAGACAAAAATTCCCTATAAATAACAGCTTCATCTTAAAAAAAATAACTTAACAAAAATATTTTTGTAGGACTTAAATATAAATTATAAATAAACATACTGAATACCTTAAAAGAGAAATATTAGTGCAAACATAATCAGGTCAAAGAACAAAATGAAAACTCTGAAGTCTGAACAAAAACTAAATAAGTATACATTATATAAAAATGAGTAAGTAAAAATAATTTATACCAGTAAATTGAAACACTAGAATTTGGCCAATCACTGATCTCCATCGTCTTCATATTATGAGAAAGGAATACTAGTTACTTTCTAATGTCCACGTTGTCGGGAAAAGTGAGCTTGCTTACAATGAAGCCGTAACACTGGCCTTTGAGAAGATGCGCTCCGATGTTGTGGACTTTAAGTTAAAATAAAAAGAAGTTAAGTTAAATGTGGTGCAGTAAGCGCCATACTAATTTAGGTTCCACAGCAATACTTGGCTATTCACCTAATATTAGCAGACATTTATCGAGAGTCCATGACAAGTGGCTTACTTTAGACTACTTTGTTTTAAATCAATCATGTTTGAGGTTCCATGTCACCTTTTTGTGGTCATACATAAGTTGTTGTTTTTTTCTGTCCGACATATTTCCGCATGGACCGGCCATGTTAGCGATCTGTCACTGCGTGACTTTGCCAATTCATTAGGATTTTTATTCTGTTAGTACTAATCTACTGATTAAAATTTAGTCGACCAAGCCTCTTCTTGTCGACTAACATTTAGTTGACTATTAGGTGGCAGCCCTAGAATATACCATGCAGTTTACCACCGCAACACATTTTAACCAGAAGAATCTGCAACAGTGTTCTAAATTCAATACACCACAGAAAAACAAATGTTTGCAACCCATTAAAAACAAACACAATCAATGAGTATACGATATACTGACTACACAGCACTGGATTCTAACGACTGGTCCAACCTTTCATTGTTGAGCCATGTCTGCATATTATATTTATATCACTAGTAACATTTAAAGCCAGTAAGATTTGTTTTTGAAAGAAATGAATAATTTTATTCAGCAAGAAATGCATTAAATTGTTCAAACAGTAATCAGTAAGACATTTATAATGTTACAAAAGATTTCGATTTCAAATAATTGCCATTCTTTTGAACTTTCTATTCTTTCTATTATAACAATATCATGATTTCCACAAAAATATTAAGCAGTTTTCAACATTGGTAAGTTAAACACCAAAACAGCATATTAAAATTAATCTGGAGGTTCATGTGACACTGAAGAAACACATTTTAGAATATATATAAAACAAGGAAAACAGCTATTTCAAATTTGAGTGTTTTGTTGTATTTTTTGTAATGGCCACAACACCAAAACAATCTCTCACACGATTTAATCAGCTATTGTTCAGCAGCTTATTTTGGTTGCCGCTGAACAATAACTTTGAAATAGATGTCTAACATTATCTCAATGTGAAATTTGCCTTTAGGAATGATTCTAAGGGCAAGCGATCAAATTTCCCACCCCTGACCTCGAACGCCACTGATGGGCTCTTTCCTTCTAGAGTTTCTCACCTGCATGAGCTTCCGGGATAAGTCATTGGTGAGGAACTCCTCTTCTTTCTCATAGTTGACAGCGAGCGTCTCCTTCTCTTTCTGCAGAGCCTGAATCTTCTTAAATAAAGTGTTGGAGATGAACTCCTCCTCTTGTTCTGCCCGTGCTTGCTGCAGAAAAAAAAAAACAAAAAAATTAAAAACAGTCATGCATTTGAAAAGGCAATTATTCGTAAAGATTTCTCTCGGAAAAAAATATTTGGCATTATATTTCCACATACTTCTGTAACCAAGTAATTAATATTTAATCTTGAAACATGATTTTGAAACTATGATTTACAATATTTTAGTTCACAAATACTGATTACAAAGAAAATAGGTATTCAGACAATAATTATTATTGACAATGAGAAATGTAATACTCTGCACAATAAATCCAGCAGAATTTACACAGTTAACAATTGCACAACCAACAATAAACACATTCCACTATCAATTTCCACCATTACAAACTGCTATGAATGCAAACGCAATGGATAAAGTATCAGTGTTTCTATAGTGACACGAGTTTTGGCTCATTGTCTAAAATGCAGATGGTCTGATTCACATTCAGGATGTTGACGCATTAGAGCCAAATATTTAGAGTGCCAACTTCCACCCTGACACAGGCCTCAAATATGAAGTCCTGATGACAACCTCATTCGCTCAACACTAAGTATCAGACGTGCAAAAACACGTTCTACATTAGAAGTATGATGATGATGATTAAGCCTGTGGTAAATCAGTAAACGCCTTATGTGGTCAGTATAAGTTACACACCTGCGGAGTACTACTAACCATTAAAAAAAAAACGTTAAGACGAAAAACATACATATACAGCTACATTGTAGGCTAACAGTCCATGTTGAAATCTAAACTATTTTTAAGAAGCTGGTCTGTCATATAACGTGTCATTTTCACTGAAACTATTCACGTGCCATCTGGCTTTTGTTGGATATTTTCAGTTAGCTCGAAGGCTAGCAGGTTTAGCGACCTCTATTTTCCCACAAACAATTTAACTTGGCACCCCAGTGTGGTGTATAATGTGGCTCAGACGTATTTGCATGCCGTGATGGTGTTGTCAGGTGTGCTGCGGAGATTAAAGTGATAAAAACACGGGCTGACTCACGATGGTAACGCTAGCTTTGCGCAGGTCGCGGTTCTCCTCCTGCAGCGCTTTGCACTTCAACTTGAACGTCTCGAGCTCGATCTTCAGCACTTTGTTCTCCTGCTGCAGTGACGCGAGTCGGTTTGTCAGCTCCTCCAGTCGGGACTGCGAGATCACGACGCCCTGTGCTTTGGTGGCGGTGTTCGTTGTGGTCGTAGTGGTGTTGGAGACGGCCGCCGAGGTGCAGGAGGACTGCGGGGTGGCGGAGCTGCTGCTGCTGCCCGCGCCGTCCGTGTCGCTCTCGCTCGCGCTGTCCGCCATGGTGTCGCGCGGTCGTTACCCAGTGCTCACGACGGATTTTAATGGAGAGGAAGTGTGTTTCAGGGGCCAGGGAGAAAAAGGGATGGAGCAAGTGTGGCTACTAGACTGGAGAGGGAACGGTCCAAGAGAAATGACTGGGCGTGCTGAAAGTGCAGGCGAATGGGGAGGGTGGCGCCGTCATGTGGTGGAGAGGACAGTGTGTTTTTTGTTGTTGTTTTTTTTTTTTTTTTCATCCCAGTGACTCCAGTTTTTTTTTAATCCATTCTGCTTAAGGATTTGTTCAAATTCGATTGTTCGGCGGGCCTAACATTGGGTTACATCATTAGGCCATATGGAAATAAGGGAAATAAGCAGTCTCAATTGTGTATCGTGAGTGATTCTTTGAATCAAATCACTCAACCATTTCATTAAACACTCACCTTTAAAATACACATGCACACAGGTTCTAGAACGATTATTCGATCATCTTCTTCATGAATGACAACACAATTCTCATTGTTTTCCTCCATTTTCTTTCACTGATGGGCATGATGACTTATTTACAGTAAATGCACAACTCACAGCACAATAGCCTTAATACAATTTAATAAAAAGTTGTTAATTTTATGGTGTTTAATTATTTAAAAGATTTACATGTTTAGTTAGAGCTAAATATTTACATTGTATTTTTTATGACGCCTTCATTGTATGCACTTAAAATAATTGTATACATTTATTTTTCTGGTGCTTTTTTTTTTTGTTGCTTTATAGTCCACATCTGTATTTGTTAATTTGTAAAAGTGTATAGTGTAAAGTTTATGTAAAAATCTGTTATAGTGACCCAGAAAAATAAGCTGACTCTTAAAAATAAATGTCATTGCTGTAAATAACAAAATTTAAAACAGAACACCATTTATGCATATACAGCAGATTTATAAGCAAAACATTTTACACTAATAATTTTAACTATAGAAAAAAACAAAACAATTTTGTGAAACTTTATGGTTGTCAAAGATATAGTAGTCATATAACCAGTTAACGGGTTGAACTACACATGTGATCTAGCTTTATTTGTTTGTAATGTAAATTCTACTTTTTTAATATTTTGTTATCAAATGCAATAAAGTGACATTCATTAGTAAGTGTTCAAACACACCAAGTCACAGCTTGTTCTGCACTGTGGCGCCTGGTATCACTATTTTCTACCACACCGGAGAGAAAAAACAAACCAATTAAACTTATTTGACTTTTACTTACCATGTCAGTCTTCAGTTTACTAGTTCACCCTTAGGGATGTAATATTTCTATAGAGTGGAAAGGTGTGATCATTACCAATTGCACTGTTATTAGACAGTGCCCAAAACATAAAATAGTTCAGTTATATTTTATGACAAAATGTTAGTTGATACATCATGATTGTTTTGCTCTGCAAGCTGTTTTCATGGTTCTGATTTCAGTAATGATATACTGTATGGAGCAAAGTTTAAAGAGAAATTAGCATCTGTTTGAGGTACAACATGAGAAATTCAAAACCTTTGTTTCACACATTTCCAAAGACAGCAGCCTTACTTCATTCTAGAAAGAAAGATTGTATGTAGCCCACAAAAAAGGAAACTAATCAGACATAGTCACCAGGGCATACTCTGTCAAAACTACAGATATGAATCCAGTTATGTTCAGTTACATAAAGAGTGTATCATATCTCTGCAGTGCAGACATTAATCATAATGTCATGACTTATGTAGCTAGATACACATTACATGCATCATACATTCTACCGTGATGTGGTGCACAAAATACATAGATTGAAAAAGATTGTCAAATAACAGTAAATAAAAAAAAGAATGCAGTAGGTTTGTAAAATCAAAGCGTTTATTTTTAAATCAGATTTTTGTAAGACATTTGAAACATTATGGTGGCATCATAGCTGCTAGTTTCTAAAAGAGAAGACCTCTAATAACCAAAGTGCTATTATAGTTACATTTAAATGGCTTCACTCGTTGTAAGAATTGTACATCAAAAATGTTGCTTAGGTGAAAACATATTATATTAAACAAAATCAACCACTGGACCATGCCAGGTCCCTCCCACAGTTTGATTGACATATAACAGGGAAGCAGAACCACACCCCATCATGACCTAGTTTCCTTATAAAGTCTTTCAGATCTCATTTCCATAGCCAAGTTCAGCACACTTAAGGATATTTCACACCATACACACCACAAGCTAAAAAGACTTGAGCTCTATTGGAGGAAAACAAAACAAACAAACAAACAAACAAAAAGTAATATCTAAAGAAAAATTCAGTATTATTAAAACCGATGCAGAGCACTGCAACACATTGACTCTCTGGTCTAAAATATATCACACATTTTCAAAATTGGAAAAGATTTCTTGTAATACTTTAAATTATAATGACCATCCAAGTGTGTGTCATTCGTAATACATAAACTATTAAATCTACAAGTAATAAAGGTCTAAAGACTTCCCATACATGTAAGGGTGACTCAGATGAAAAAGTTAAATATTCACCTAACCTGAAACAAATTGCCAAAATGTTAAGTTCAAAACCTCAGCAATCAAAATGAAAAGAAAAAAATGGAGACATTCCTATCATGATTACAAACAGCCTTAAGACAAAGAGAGACCTCTACATTGTACAGCCAATACACATGATACAGTGATAGTTGAACAGAGATGCTGATAACTAGCATTTACATTCTGAACACCTCATACTTGCAGCGCTCAGGCTTATATCAGCAGACACTCTCTTCCATACAAATGATAACGGACACTACACTGAAACTCCTAAGGAAGCAATCTGTTTAGAGCTTTTCACAATTAACCGTTCCTACACGATGGACACCTGTAGGGTGACATTTTGGAATATAAAAGTCGAGACATGTTAGAGTTGTATGTGTACACAAGAAAAAAGTCTTTTCTTATTTGTCTTTTTAAATACAGTGTTTTGCAAACTTAGAAAAAAGGTTCTTAAAATAAGGTGAACTGCATGCATCAAAATATTAGTCCTCTGTATGACTTCTTCACAGAATTTGATAAATTCCCATTTTGGGAATAGTTGAAATTCGCAGAGGATTTTAAGGAAATGTCCCCTGAAAACCGAACCAACTTTTCTCATATACAAACATACCTGCTATAATAATTAATTATACAAGAGCATGTGAAGTTTCACAGTCTTTAAAACGTCGAAAGCACTTATAAAGTGTATGTTTGCGGTGCTCTCGCCAAAACCTAACTACTAAATTTTATTTGATTTTTACATAATGTGATTTATGTACAGAAAAGTCAACCACATAATTTACTTTGTTATATAAATTAAAAAAAAAAAATTAAAACACAGGGATCCTCCTCCTGATGTCATGGGTCCACGGTAATGTGTAAGGCGAATGTAAGGTGTGGTTCAACAGCATCTATTGTTTGTTTTTTTTTTCCCCTAAAACACGAAAAAGAGCTTTTGTGCCATCTTTGGTCACAGGGAAATTTGTGTGAGTATACGGTTTGAAGTTTAAGGGGTATTTTGAATATACCCCTTCACTTACGCGTCTGATATTCATGGCACACAAAACAGTTTCTGATTTCCTGATGGTCCAGGTCAGCATAGGTATTAACCAGCAAGAAAAATGAAGTGTTATCTCGTAGGTCCCCCAGAAACAGGAAGTAGAATTATATAGGACCCAACAGAGAGAGGAAGTAGAATTCGCCAGGACCCATCTAAGGAAGTAGAATTGATCGAGACCCCCTTGAAACAGGAAGTGTGTCAGCAGTGATGCATGCTCATGCGCAAGCGAATAGGCCAAAGTTCTGTCTCTTTGAAGACCATGCGTTTCAGAGTGGAAGCCATAGACGGTTTTTCAGGCCAAATGTCCCTTTTCATCTTTTGTGGCCCTGCCGCTCAGGAAACAGATCAAACATATACCTGCAAGCCTTGAGAGACACAAAACAGACCATAAAAGAATAAAACTTATCTAAAAAAAATTTACCTCTAATTGTAATGTAACATTATATAGAGGGAATGATTTGACATACAGAAGCATTCAAAAGTTTAGGGTTACTAAGATTTTTCATGTTTTTGAAAAGAAGTCGTGTTAAAACAGTAATATTGTGAAATATTATTTGAGTCAATAACTGTTTTTTATTTTAATATATTTTAAAATATAATTTATTCCTTTGATGCCAAGTTGAATTTTCAGCAGCCATCAGTGTCACATGATCCTTCAGAAAAAAGATACCTTACATACCCCAAACGTTTGAACAGTAGTACCAGGGGCAGACTTAACCAATAAGCAAGGTGCGTAGGGCCCCAGGGAATAATCTGAATTGGCGAAACAGATTTGGCAAACACTCAAGTGCATGTTTGTGCTCTGGAGAGCGTCAAGTTTTTATTCACAATGTGTTTTTGCAGAGTTGCGCAATGTAGCCAATCACAGACATATCTGTTGATTTCTGAATGCAATGACAAAAGAGAGGTGTTTAAGTTAGTCAGAATCCACTCACCACTCAAAACGGCAGTTTTTGTTGTTCGGTGCTGAGTTCTAAACGCTCTTGAAATCTCTCATTATAATAAACAAAGTATTGAGATTTAGAATGCTGTGTAGAGACTGCTTCATTGATTATAACGAAACTTATAACACATTACATTTTCGGTTTGTGTTTCACCAAACCCTACCGATATGCCGTTAGAACACTGCCGTTAGAATTCAGAGTGAGTTGTATGGGATAATTGTTTGCATAAGATTCTAGAAGGCCACATTCACTGCTATTAAATGGACAAGTGCAAGTATGATTTTTTGTGTTCTTTTGTAATCCAAAAAATAAGGTAATATGGCTTTAGAACAACATCAGGTTGACTAAGTAATTACTGAATTTTCACAATCCTAAAGACAAGTTATGAAGGGGTAAATAAGAGTTACAAAGTAAAAGAACACATACTAGCTGGTGTGTTGGGGCCCCATAACTGAATTTGCTTAGGGCCCCACATCACTAAGTCCACCCCTGTGTAGTACATGAGGAAAAGAAAAGAGAATAATTAACAATATAAATAAAAACAATAACAAACAGAGCTGTCTGAAGTGCTGTACCTGTCTATAGTGGTGAAGTCACATCTAAGAATGATGTTTTCTCTCTGAACGCTTTTCTTCCTTCTTCCTTGCCTTGGAAAC